GCACCATTACATCTGGCTTTTTATTATTGTTTTGTTTGGAGATGGGATCTCACTAAATTGCCCAGTCTGGTCTTAATCCTGATCCTGCCACCTCAGTCTATATGAGTAGCTAGGACTTTAGGTTAGAGCCATGGTGCCTAGTTTTTTTTTTTAAATTATTTTTTGCTGCCAGGGATCAAATCCAGGGGCTCATGAATGCCAAACACCCGCTATACCACAGAACCTACACCTCAGCCCCACCCTTTGTTTCTGACACTCTGCTGTGTTGAAGTCCTTTGCTCTCCCAGGTGGTGCTGCCTTGGGCCTGGAAATCAGACTTGTCATGGGCTTTGCTTCTGCTCCAGGTGCTCTTCACAGGTCAGGAGGGCATGGAGCACATGTATGCGCTCATGTAGCACCTATATGGTGCCTTTCAGACAATGTTGTGCTTGCAAAGGCTTGTGAAACTCTCCAGCCACTGGCGCAGTGATGAAGCCAGGCATGGAGGTACACACCCGTAATCCCAGGACTCAGATCTGACATGACCAAGATAAGGCCAGCCTCAATTATATAGCGAGAAAGTGTCAAAAAAAACAAACAAATAAATGCCAGATGGTTATGATCACAGTACCAACTTCATGGGATTGTGAAGAGAATTAAGAGGTTGAAGGATGGTTGAAATGGTGAGTATAAAAACTGAGCAAAGGGGCTAGGGTTGCAGCTAAGCAGTAAAGTGCTTTCCTAAGCATGAAGAAGACAACCCTGGCCTCTATCCCCAGCATGAAGCAGGGCAGTAGAAAATCAGGACTATCTTCTAGGAGGGACACATTAAGTTCTTTCTTTCCTCCTTCAGGCCTTTAGGAAGAGGGAGAAGTAAGGTCAGCAGGAGTCGTGGGACAGCAACTTAGCTAGACTCTGTCTCAAAATGAAATTCATTTCTGTTTTAAGATGGTCTTTTTAAAGCAATTCAGGCTGGCCTTGGAGTCACTATGTAGCCCAAGCTGGCTTTGAACTCCTTAGTCATCCTCTTGCCTCAGTGTCCCAAATGCTAGGATTCTAGGTTTATGCTACAGGCCAGGTTACAAAATAAATTCTATAAAGGGTTGGGGAGAGTATAACTTACTGGTAGAGTACTTGTCTAGCATGAACAAGGCCTTTGGTTCCATTCCCAGTAGTGAAGGGGAAAAAAAAAATCCCTGTATTTTTTTCACCAAATATTATTGCATACTTACTATGTGTCAGGCACTGTGTTCTCACAGACTTTCATAAACGAACTAGAAAGGTCCCTGGCCTGTCCATTTTACATTGTAGCTGGAGGGAGGTAACAGATCTCTGCAGATTTCAGTGAGCAATGAAGTCATTAAAAAGGTAACTGATTCTTCAGGACACCCCTGGGGAATGAACATTCAAGGTGAACTAAGGAGAAGGAACTAGCCATAGGCATCCAGAGAAAGAACTCATAACTCTGGGCAGAAGCAAGTATGGAGCTCAAAAGTTACCACAAATAGTCAATTTTGAGGTATGTTAAGGTGGGTGAAAAGGAAGCCAGTTTATGAATTGATGGGCAAGGTGAGACTAAAAAGAGAAAAACTACAAAAGCTTCACAGCCATACAGTCCATGAACAGCATCAGTAGGCTGGTTAGGGTCAGTTTCTTAATCTGAAAACTCCATATAGGTTGGGCATGGTGACACACACCTGTAACCCCAGAACCTGGGAAACTGAGGCAGGAGTACCACTGAGTTTGAGGTCAGCCTGAACTACACAGTGGGACCCTAACCCAAAAACAAATAAAAAAAGCTTGTTGTATAACTTGCCTACTTGGTAGGGTTGTGAAAGAGCTTACTGTGTGCTAAGCATTTAGTGAGGTTCCTGGAGTATAGTAAACTATCAGTGAATGTTAACTCTTAACAAGTGGTGCTCAGTGCTAGAGCACTTGCCTAGCCAAGTGTGACATCCTGAGATTCATCTCAGCAAAGCAATAAACAAAAAGGGACACTTATATGAAATATTCTCAATAGCTCAATCTTCAGTGGAATACCAAGTTAAGGTTGGCTTCTTCCTAGAAATAGGCTTTAAAAAACAAAACAACTGTTCGGATAGAAAAAAAACCCAAACCAAAACAAACCCAAACAAAACAGAACACTAAAATCATTTTTGCCAGAATTGTTCACATTCTCACTCTTCTTCTTGCTGTGGGCCTTCTAAGAAAA